AGTTTGTGTTTAGAAAAATTTTAATTGTATACGTATCCAGGAAAAAGCTATTATTTGAAGACCCGGTTTTCCGAGGCTCTTAGAAAACTTGCTAAAAATCCTCCAAAACTCACTTCTGTAACCAAAAGCGACATAGATTCTGAAAGTAGACACTTCACGCTACTTTTCCATGTGCTTATCTCAAAACCGATCTTTTGACAGAAAATCACAATTTCTGAGGCGGGGGAACTTTAAGGCATAATCGTAGCCCGCAAATTTCTGATTAAAATGAGACATCTTCTAGCTCTACACGGTCTTTCATTGCAAAGCTATAGAATTTACAAGAAAAGCTCTAAATTAATTTTTTGCTTCTTAGTTCTGTAGCTTTTGAGCTGACAATGGACATTTAAGACTTTTCTTGTAAACTCTATAACTTTGCAAAGAAAGGTCGTGTAGAGCTGGGAAATGTCTCATTTTAATCAGAAATTTGTGGGCTACAATTATATCTCATTAAGAAAAGTTCTGGTTATTTTGTGGAATTTCTGAAAAACTAGTCTTTAAGAGTCATGGCGAAAACCCTTTTAGGCTTTTTACTAGCTCGATACTCCCTCTCGATCAACGTATGAACGAACGAAATCGAAAGTATCACTTTGATAGGTTTCCTCGTGAGTTATTCCGCGATATGGAAAAGAAAGTGGCAAGACGATGGTATGGATAATTTTTATATTGACTGTAAATACAAATCTTAGTTATCTTTACCTAAATGAAGGAAAACCAAAATACGAATCGAACAAAATAATAAGTTCGATATAGAGAAAATCTTTAACGTTCTGAGCTGAAATGAAACAACTGTCCAGATTTTTGCTGCCGTTGTTAAGTAGCGATACTTAACAAGCGATACTTCAATATGATACAAAAAAGCATTGTATTGCGTATAAAATAACCATCAATGCTTTTAATGAAAAACAAATACTGAAACTAATCCAATGAGAGTAGACACTTGGAACTTAGAAATTTAGAAAAATATTTAGTTTCTAGAAAAAGTATGAGTTAGTATTTTGTGGAAGTTGATGGAAGCGATGCTAATTTGAATGGACATCGTGACCTGTAGTGTTTTGTTTTTTTGAATTGTATTGTAATAAAATGCCTTATTATTATCCAAAAAGGGTATTTTCCAACTTGTCTTTTTGTCTCTTTAGACTATAGTTTGCAACAGATGGATAGTTACGATGAAGATGAAGAAGACGAATTGATTGATCTATCGGATTTACCGTCAATGGAAACGTTGAAATCGATGAAAATTTTTCCGTTAATGAATCAATCCCATCTTGTATCGATCAATGACTATGTCACAACGCCTATATTTTTCCCATTACCAAAACAATTATATTCAAATCATTTAAAAATTCTTTTACAAGATTTGCCGACACTTGATGAACAATTATTTACACTCATTGAACAAGATCATCCACAGCGATTAGATAATATCAAACGTCTATTAAGAAATTTAGGTAAGAAGAAATAATTCATAAGTGAGAGAATATATATGATGAAGATGACATCATTTTAGGCATACTTGAAAATCGAAAAATACATGATATATATAATCAACATATTTTGCCTGTTTTATCAAATGAGAAAGAGTTGTGGCGTCAAAAATCGGATGTAACTCTTATATCGTACTTACTTTGTATATTTGAATATGTGTATGATCCTCTGGATAATCCCGATAAATTGGATATGAAACAATTTCAATCGATTGCACAAGTGAAAACAACAACGAATAATGAAAATAAATTTGAGAATCCATTAAAAAATATAATTCATT